AAAACTACGAAATGCGATATATGGCTTGAAGCAAGCCCCCCGGGCTTGGTACTTAGAATTGTCCAAGTTTCTTATTGCTTTTGGCTTTAAAAAGTCTGTATCTGATTCATCACTATTTATTTATTGTGATTCTGGTGTAACTCTGTATTTTTTGGTGTATGTTGATGACATCATCATTACGGGAAATAATGATGCCTTTGTTAGGACCTTTGTGAACCGCCTTGCTGAGAAGTTTTCACTCAGGGATTTGGGGGTACTACATCATTTTTTGGGTGTGGAAGTTCTTCCCACTACAGCGGGTCTATTGTTGTCCTAGAGTCAATATGTACTTGACATTCTAGAATAGTTTGGCATGACGGGGGCGAAGGCAGTATCGACTCCGATGTGTACCTCTGTGGATTTGTGTGCAGGCGAGTCTTCAGCTTTTGATGTTACGGAGTATCGTCGCGCCATTGGTCGCTTGCAATATCTGGCGATCACTAGGCCGGATGTGTCATATGCTGTCAACTGTCTCGCTCAATTTATGGCGTCGCCCACCGAATGTCATTGGCAAGCTGTGAAACGAATTTTGCGCTACTTGAAGGGAACTCTGTATTTCGGCTTACATTTTCGCCGCGGCTGCTCTCTTTCACTTTTGGCCTACTCGGACTCGGACTGGGCGGTGTAACACCCCCGATTTCCATGCCATTTTAAACTTAAATATGCAAGATAATCTAACCACAATATAAGCAAAACATAGCGGAAGTCTAATTATATAAAACTGGAAAACGAAGAGTGTTATGCCACGTCCACACTAGGGTGAACGCACAGACAAGAACATGATCAACATCAACAGTCTAAAAGTCTAACAAGGTCAAACCAACAACAAACTATTGTTCATCATAAGAGGCACACAGGCCCATAACAAAACTAACAGAGTCCGGGGAACTACACTAGCCATCTCTATATCGCGCTCGCCACTACTCGGGACCTGAAAAGCACATAAATAAAAGGGACGACGCCCGGTCAGAGAATGATGCTGGTAACCCACCATTACATGTCAAGTATCATACATAGATAATATATACAAAATCATTTTTCGAAACGGAGTACTGTATATATAAGTTCAAAGTCCAAGATAGAAGTCAACCACAAAGACTCTATATCTCTCACAACAAGGATAAGGGGAAACACATCCCAAAACATAATAAGAAATGACAACGACACCACAAGAAAGGCTCAAGGTGTATTCTACAATCACTCAGTAGAATATCACCCGATATGCTCAACACAAGAGAATAAAGAGACACACATTGGCACACATGCCTTTGTGACATCACTCATCACGAATAGAGAAACACACATCGACAACACATGCCTTCATGACATCACACATCACGAATTCAGTAATCCTTCCTTATGCCCGGTTCCAACCTTATGGCTACCCCCAACCTTATAGCTAGTTCCAACCTTTACCTCCAGGACCCCTGTACTCCAAAGTCCAACCTTATGCCTCCGAGGACCGTCATCCCCACTCCGACAATCTCCAACAATACCACCGATTTCATAGTACACGAGGGTACCGATCACACACATGGCCACAGCCTCCCAAGAAATACGTGAACCTTACACACAGGTCACAAACTCCATAATCACGCCATGGCCACCACGAGGACCACTACCGTACCTTGGTGACTAATGTCCCATTCCATTAATCGTGCAATCCAGGTACAATCACGCACACAACACCATCATAGGAAACAATCAATAGATCACAACGAAGATATGAAACCATACCCAACAAGGAAAGGATCACAATCCGACAACAACGATGATCAACACAAGTCATCATCCACAATAGGAAAGAACAAACCACGCACGCTAGCATTTCAACACCGAACTAGCATGCTTATCAAACGGGTAAACAAAACATAGTTCCGAAGAACATACAAGACTCATCATGGTTCAACGAATCACAAGGTTGAACACTTACCACGATTCAAGACACCAAAACCTACATGGATTCCTACCACATAGTTCTAGACATACGAAACATCAAGAAGACAATCAAATAGCCCAACAAAGAACATCGGGAAGTCAAAACATCGATTACCGAGCTAAAAGAATCACGGGGAACAAATCCCCAACAAACACCATATATGTACCCGCGGGTGGAGCCACGGATGGACCCCCACCCGTGGTTCCGTCCGCGGGAACCATGTCTCACGAGGTGTGTACCCCGCGGGCGGGGCGGCGGGTGGAGCTTTACCCGCCGTTCCGCCCGTGGGTACAATACCCTGTACAAAAATATCCCTTCGGGGATTTTCAACACCAAGCTCAAATTCAAGTCCAAAACACCCAGAATCTCACCAAATACAACAAAATGACTTGAATAAAATGAATAACCAAGCAATGGCATACAGGAACCCTAATAACAAGCTCTAGATATGCATTTTCACAAGACAATGCATTAACACTCACATTTCATAGCAAAAATCACAAGTAGAATCCAAGAAATCATCATATAGGTAAGTAAAATAGATTTTGTAAAGCATGGGTTACCTCTCGTAGACAAAACCTTCATTTATAACACTTCTCAAAGCTCCTAACAAGGTTCTCCTTCAACCTCAACTTCAAGAACACACCAAAAGACCATAAAGATTTCATCTTTAGAAAAAGATACCTTAGAAAGCACTAAAAACACAAAAGGAACATAGATCTTACCCTCCTAGATGCTCAAGAGTAGGAAATGTGGAATCTTGGAGATAAACTTCGAAGATCTTGGAAACCCCAAACTTAGCTTGAAGGAAAAGCTAGCTAAATTTTCTAGAGAGAAGGAAGAGCTTTTGTTTTGAAAGTGTAAGGGAAAGAATGAAAGGTGTCTTCTAAGTTAGCTTGGAATACAAATATGAGGTGAAATGTCTTTATTACCCTTACTAAGATGAAGAAGTGTAAGGGAACAATGGAACTATTCACAAAGCTTAGAGTACAACTCATTGACTTGGGTTGACTAGTCAATTACTAGTCCCCGACTATTGAATTTTCAGGAATTTAAAGAACAAATTATCAATTGTATTAGGATTAATTACTTAATTAACCCCTAAATAGAATTTGGATTTGCGGGGTGTCACATGTGGTATCCGTGATTGGGGTCATTCTACTACGGCATACTGTGTGTTTTTCGGGTCTAATATTGTTGCCTGGAAATCTGCGAAACAACGCTCGGTATCTCGGTCTTCCACGGAAGCCGAATTTCGAGCACTGGCCAATTCCGCTGCTGAAGTTATGTGGATCCAGAATTTGTTGCTAGAGCTTGGAGTTCGCATGCCGACTACACCGATTCTAGTTACTGATAATCTGAGTGCCACATATGTTTGTAAATATCCTGTGTTTCATTCTCGGATGAAACACTTGGCTCTAGATTATTTCTTTGTTAGTGAACAGGTCACCTCGGGCTCTCTGCGAGTTAGGCATGTTAAGTCGTCTGAGCAGGTTGCCGATCTCTTGACCAAACCATTGGGTCATCGTCTGTTTTCTGGGTTTCGTAACAAGCTTGGTCTCGCTGATGGAGCCTCAATCTTGTGGGGGCGTGTTAATACTTAGTCTATCTGTTAGTTTGTTACTAGCCTAGTCTTGTGCTTTACTGTTATTAGCTTCCTTTTATTATGCTCTGTATACTATTTATATGCTTGTTTTCACAGTGAATAAACCATTCCTGTTACCACTCTCACATACATACATACATATATATATATATATATATATATATATATATATATATATATATATATATATATATATATATATATAGAGGGTAAGGTTCCAGTGAGAACATGTGCTTAGGTGAGAACGTGAGAACACATCATGTGCATCCATCTAATATTTTTTAATGGTCTAGATTAGATTAAGTGTGTGCGAACGCGCATTAAATGTGTGCGAACGCGCATTAAATGTGTGCAAACGCGATTTAGTGTGTTTGCACACATTTAATGCGCGTTCGCACACACTTAATCTAATCTAGACCATTAAAAAATATTAGATGGATGCACATGATGTGTTCTCACGTTCTCACCTAAGCACATGTTCTCATATGATCCTCTCTCTCTCTCTCTCTCTCTCTCTCTTTCTCTCTCTCTCTCTCTCTCTCTCTCTCTCTCTCTCTCTCTCTCTCTCTCTATATATATATATATATATATATATATATATATATATATATATATATATATATATATATACTCTTTTAATCTCTTGAACAGAACAAGTTAACAATTATCTATCAAATACTCTTGTAGAGCAACCTCAATAGTTCAAAGTTTTATACAATTTTTTTTGGACCTTGCCATGTGAATTCTGCAACATTCAAAATAAGAGAAAAAATTTAAAAATCAATAAAAAGTCAGAGTGGTTGTTAGTAAGTGGCCACTATAACATGTTTGTAAGCACACAAATAGCGCATAAACATTCTTGTTTTTTCTTTTCCTCCTATTATGACAAAATCTCAACACCTCTGAGTAAAATCTAAAAACTCTTATCTGTCGTTATCCAAATAAGCCAAAAACTCTCTCATTGAACAAGCCCTTACATTTTTTTTTTTATTAGAGATAAACCGATGTGCTAACTAGATTACTAAATGGTGTCAAGTCTTAATACTATCCATCTTGAACACTATGTTTTTGAAACCCCACCAAGGGGCTTGCATGATTGAGAATATTGTTGAAGGAGTAGATTTGCCAACTATTTATGTAGTATAGTTAGTTTTTCTTAGTCTTTCTTCCAATATATAAAAAAAAATAAAAAATTATATTATTAATTATTTAATCAATCAACTACATCACGAATTAATTATTAAGTATTGTAAAAAAATTTCTCAAGAATAAATAAATATAACAAAGAGTTCACACTAATGCCTCTTCATGAGCAAAACATTAAGTGCTAATTGGACATAGCAAAAAATAAAAAATAAAAATTATAATGCAAGTGTCGACAACAAAAAAATAAAGGAAAAAGAATTGTTTATAAAAGATAAAGATGTAATAGGGTAAAAATAAAAGAATAAGACTAAATATGGGAATACTACAATAGTCCAAACTAAAAATGAATTTTTTTTTCTGTTTTAAGAAATCCATTTTCATTGTCCACAAAAGTGAAATTCCCTTGCGTCCATATTACGGTCCAACAAGATAGTAGAGGGATAAATCACTATGAGTTGGCCGCGTGTTAGAAATCCGTTTCCCTATCCATCAAAAACCTAAGTATTCTGGAGCTAACAAAATGAGAGGTTCCAAGGCACCAGGAGCAAATTTTCTGGCAAAAAGATGGCAGATTGATATACTGTGGCCATTATACAGGCAGCTATGAGCTTCAAGGATCCTCTTCACGAAATCCGGTGTGATGTCCGAGCTCCCAAAAGTGGCGGGGTGGGCGCCACCTCGAGACCAGTCGGCCCAAGTGACGCTTCGGTTGGCCAAGACGCTTCCGGCTTGGATAGTTAGCATGGTTGGGAAGTAGTGCTCGTCCACATAGCAATGCGGCTTGCAGAACTCAGCAAACTTTGGGTACAATTTCGCGTCTTCTACAATGTAGAGGGCGAGCTTCCTGTTGATCTCGAACCACTGTGGTCCTTTTCGCCAATCTGTAATGTTTACCTCGGGTGCCATGTTTGTGTTGTAACGCCCTCGCCCATATGGCCCGTGGTCATCAAATGCACCAATGAAGCTATGTTTTGATCTCCTTAAGTAGCGATAGATGACGGTGAAGTTGAACAGAGGGATGCAGGACTCTGATAGTAGAACAAACCATTCATTTCTTATATCCAGCAGTGCATTGGCTACAAGTCTTCTCTCTGCATCACAGATACTCATAGTCCCCCATTCTGTAACCTACAGAGGATGAAACAATGCTGAATTGGTTAAGATTACAGAAACGTATAATCGTACAAGAAGAATTAGCAGAAATAAATAACAATAGGGGCAGTTGGTTTAGTAACCACAAGGTTTTAAGTTCGACTCGCAGTCGGAGCCGCCTATTGGCTTTTCTGGTTTGAGTGGGTTATCAAGGCTAGTTTACCAGTTTGTGGTCTTTTGCCGGTTAAGGTTATCAGGCAAGGTTTACTCGGTGCACGCCCTCGGGTAGTAACTGTGGGTTTCCTCGCCATCCAAACAAAAAAATAACAGTAAGGGGCAACTTCAGCCAAGTTGGTCACTGTTGGCTTGGCAACCGCAAGGTTGCAAGTTCGGCTCCCACTGAGAGCGTTCTATTGGTCTTCTTGGTTTGAGCCCGTCAACTATAGATAACTCAGGTTGGTTTACCTCTTTGTGGTCCTTTGCCAACTAGGATCACAAAGCGAGTTTACCAAGTGTTTCCTTCGTCACCGAATAACCGTATTACCTCTTTATGGTCATTTGCCAGCTAGGGTCACAAAGCGGGTTTACCCTGTGTTTCCCTCGTCACCCGAATAACCGAACGAACAATTGGCGCCATCCAACAGTAGTAGAAAAGGTTGGTACACATGACAGAAATCCTTTTGAGAATTGAATAACAGACAAACTTTGAATGCTGACCAAATTTTTCCTCCTACTTCATTCTGCAGGTCATAGTGAACACCATATTCCTACTCTGTTATTTAATTCCTTAAAGAACAGAAAAATTGAGCTGTGATCCCATCTCCATGAAAATAGAAATCACGTGTCATAGGCTCTGTATGAGCTACAATTCTTTTTGACAATTAACAGTTTAGCATGATAAATATTTGCTTGCTCGGTTGCTCCATAGTTGGTATAGTCAAACAGATGATTATTACGTTAAATGTTATATGTCAAGTCATACAACTATACAAGCAGCTGCTATTGCAAACAATAGAAGCAAATACACGACAAAAAAACAACATAACAATTACCTTACTAGGTATCTGCCTTCTATAGAAAACCGATGAGGGTGGGAAATCAGCTTCAAATGATGGCGAGGAATGGATGTATATCGAAAACAGCCCCCGTTGCCCCTTGAAGAATCTCTCCCAAAGAGGCGTCAATGGCAACGGCCCTTTAGTTAAGAACATAAACGCAATCTTGGGAACCCTTTTGAAGGGATACTTCTTTATCCTCGGCGCCAAAGATGCCCTCCAAAACAACTCTTCATCAGACATTGAATGTGTCAAATTGGTTGGAGGCTTAAGCCAATGCTCCAAACCATTTGGCCAGGATTCCAAACTAGGCTTCACTATATTATTCACTACACTAAGAGCTCCAAACCCCTTGATTGTATAAATACAGACCACTGAAAAGCCAAAACACAGAAGCAAAAATAAATGCAAGAGTCTCTTTGGCAAAACCCTAGGTTGGCCTCCCTTGCTTATAACCAGTTGTGGTGGATCTTTACCTCCCTCCATTGAGACAGAATTCTCAGAATAGTGACCGAACGGGCTTAGCTCACTGGTTCAGTAGGCAGTATTTGGGAGAAGAATTTTCAAAATAGTGCTCGAACGTGTTTAGCTCACTGGTTCAGTAGGCAGACAGTATTTGGAAGACTAATTCTCATAATAGCATCCAATTAACTACCAAAAAACAAAAACACTCATCTGGGTATGCACTATTTTTGCATCAAAAGCACATGTAAAATCATTACTCAAGAACAAGCAACCCAGAAATTACAGTAAATTAAACAACCCACAATGATCCCAGTCCAAAATTCTTGCTAACAAAAACCAATAATCTTGAATTGCAGCACTTCACTCACACCCAAGTTCAAATCCTTTAATTTGATCACATAAACCAAAACCCAGAATATCTTCAAATTGCCATTTACAAGAAAATTCTAAATATGAAGCAAAGGCACCAACCTAGAGATCTTTCCACCGCTTATTGATGGGTGGCTGTTGAGGATAATTGAGTGGCACCAACCGAGAGATCTTTCCACCGCATGGGAGTTAGAGAAAGTGAAATTACACCTTGAGGTGACAAGGAAGAAGGGGAAATGCATTTTCTTTCTTTATAAGGTGTATTAAGGTTTACATATTAGCAGTCAATTAGAATAGGAATGTTATAAATGTACCATAAATAGCTTTGAATACCATTTAATTGCTTGGCTTCTTATTTAAGGTGTGTTTTTGAAAAAGAAAGGGTAACAACGACAGAAACCATATAAACTCATGAAAAATGTCGCATAGGTTGTCCACTCACCACAGTGGCACAGTCCAGAACTCCACTCACCTGCCTTGATTGTGATGAATGTGGAGTTTATGGGCCTCTTTGTTTTGAAATCGTAAACCGCGCCAGGTTGTTATTATTATTTTATATTAAAATTAAAATTAGTTTTTATAGGCGCATTGGGCAAATGATATAATGCCCAATAATTATTTTCAAATAATTACTTTAAAATATATCAATGCAATACGGAGTATTATATAGGAGATATTCATGAATAGGTAATTGAATGTTGAATTTGTTTATTTAAATCGGTAATTCAAAGTATATAAATGCAAGATAATATATGAAAATTATAATTGTCACAGAAATAAATGTTTGTAACTTTTTAATAACGCTAGTCTAAATACTTAGTTTAAAAGCGATAGTTTAAATAAATACTACTTTTAGCTTAAATTTCTCTTTTAAGTTTCCTTAATTTTCTTTTGGGTAGCATTGTATTGTCTTTCATCTTCAGTACATATCCTCTATTTTTTTTTATTGGTAATGTGTCAAGTGCAATTGGGTTAGTAGTGGTATCATCATGCAATGAGATTATAGTATGTGAAATTTTAGATTTGTCTTGATGTGTATATGATTGAGATATTAGTTGTACTATGAACTCTTTATCTTACAAGCACCTGTTTATATTTGATAGTGGTAGTTTTTTTTCTCTACATGCTTCATGTGTTGTGAGATGTGTATCGTAGATTATCATGTTAAAGTATTGAACAAAATATTAATATTTATTATATGTGTATAAAATACTTGGTAAATAAATACATAACATATTTAATAGGGAAAATCAACGATTTGGTCCCTCAATTGTTAGCGAAATATCAATGTAGTCCCTTAATCGCGAAATCATCGATTTAGTCCCTGGAAATAACTGTTTTTAGTTGATTTGGCCCCTCCGACGGTAGCCCGTTGAAAATCTGGCGATAACTCTGATTTGGCATGGGTAATTTAGTCATTTCAGGGGTAATTTAATCCTCCTTCTCTAATAACCCCTCCTGAATGCCCTTGAATGTACAAATTCAGAAATGAGAAGAGAAAGAGACAGCCTAGCTTTGTATATGTGCGCGAGGAAAGATGGCAACGTGCATCGTATAGGAAATCGCACAGCAAATCATATAGGAAATCACAGAGATTCAGTTTCGATTTTGTTCTTGCGATATATGAGCTTCAAATCACCATAATCTTTTGCTTCTTTCCCCAGCAAGCTTGCGGATTCAGCTGTGTGGGAGAGATGGCGAGGAACGGGGTGTTTTCACGGTGGCGGAGGGCTGAGGGACCTGCCGGATTGTCGCTGCCCTTAGAATCTCACGGCGTTCATGTCCTCGCCGTCGACGATAGCCTCGTCGACAGGAAAGTAATCGAGAAATTGCTCAAAACTACATCCTGCAAAGGTTTGCCGCGCTCCGGAATTTCGCCCTGAAAATTGGCAACTGCTCTGTTAGTTTCCATGTTCACTGAGACTGTAAGAAAAAAAAATTTGTTTGTTGCAGTGACAGCAGTGGATAGTGGGAGTAGAGCTCTGCAATTCTTAGGATTGGACAAGGAAGAGAGTTCTGTTGGGTTTGATGTAAGTGAATTCCATAAATCTGTTGATTTTTTTTTTCTCTTTCATAATGTAGAATATTTATGGGTTTGGTTTCAGCAAAATTTGATTGATGATTGTTTTGTGGATGTGAATTTAGGGTTTGAAGGTAGATATGATAATCACAGATTATTGCATGCCTGGAATGACTGGCTATGAATTGCTCAAAGTGCTGGTTTCAGTTGCAACATATACAAGAAGGCACCTGCTAAAACTAGATCAGATTGAATGGCAGAACTTCAGT